TTGTGATAATACCTTGAATAAAACCTTTGCACATTTTTGTTTCATGAACAAATTGTGTACGATAGCAAAGAAAATTTACTAACAGTACAAAACTTAACAATAAGAAAGGCATTGAGTGTACTAGGAATGGCCTGCTCCTACCGCATGTCATTTGACCTTGAGGAAACAACCCTTCTAAAACGCCAACCTCAGCGCCCGCGCGCTCGGTTTGCGTCGTCTGTCCAAGTTCTCTGTAGAAACGAAAAATAGTACGAAAATGTTGGCAAATTCCGAATTTTTTAAAGTAATTGGCAGTATGCATCGGCAGCCAAAATTTACATCATGATATCAAAAGTGCATGTAAATACACTGAAAAAAATATGAGGGCATGTTTTGACATGCCACACCGCAGCATTCTCTTGTTAAAAACAGAACTCGGAATAATGAATAGGGCAGACGCAAGGGAGAAAAGACAGGCAAGCGGGTACCTTTACCTTTTCCTTAATAAATTAAATTATTTTTTTAATTAAACAAAGTGAGCACATTATTTTTAATCATTCAACTTAATCACTAATTCTATCATTGTAATATTTTTAATATTTCAAACTTATGGTGGGAACATGAAGTAATCGCATTTTGTACATGTTCGCTTTACCAGTACATTAAACATTTTCATCTATCGATTTGACGATAAAATACCCCGGGAATATGTGAGATTTAAGGCGTTTCATCGATATCTGAAATGTTTAAATGGTAAAAGCAATGTCAGATTCACGTTCGTATATTGGGATTCGTAATCTTGGTAGAAAATTTTAATTCGTCACAGGTTTAATTTATGTCATTTTTAATGTGTTTTTCTTTTGCTTGCTCTATTATTATCTTTCCCTACAACAATACCATTAAAAGGGGGGTTTTAACATTTGAAACTTTTACCAGAATTTTGATAAATCGCTATCATAAGTCCAAATTCAATCAAAACTGTTTGTGTCGTTTTTGAGAAAAAATGGTGTAAGGCAATAAAAATTGCATATGTTTGACAGAAAATTTCAAAAAAATACTCATTTTCAAGAAATTAAAAATGTCATTATTTTTAGATCTGTGTTTCATGAACACATTTCATTAAAAAATGTATCTTATTTATTGTAGTTGTAGAAAGACGCCGAAAAATTTTTGAACTTTTTCAATTTTCGAAAAATTAGGATTTCTAACTACCATGAGACATGCGCCATTCTCTTAAACGCCCTCTACACTATCCAATAACAAAGTTTAATCAAAATCGATGTAGCATTTTTTAAAAGTTTTGAATATATCCCAGGGGCTCCATGTATAGTACCACCTAAAATTAATCTGTTTCAAATTCAAGGGGCCGTGACATTAACCTGATTGATTGAGGAATATCATTTTTGGAAATAATTGGCTGAACGGTTTAGTCGTTAGCATTTTACGGACGGACGGACGTTATACCATCAATCGATTTTTAGGTATCAAGGAGACAATGAACATTGGTTCTTTCTGCATCACGGTTTAGAAGATTTTTACACTAAATTTGGCATCTGGATCTATCCACTTTTTCGTTGACGGAGTCCTGTAATATGGATTTTTCTGAGAAAATGTCTTTGTTTTCTCGAGCAGCATTGCATAAATTTCTCTGAAAGAAACTAAAAATAATGAGAGCCTATTTTTAGAGAATTTTGTTAAAGCGTCTTTCGAAAATTGTCGTTAACTCTCGTGGTTTTTGAAGCTATTCCAATTTTTGTTTTTATATACGTGGTATCGGGAAAGTTCTGTAATGGTGCGGAAAATCGATATCGAGATTTCAAAGGAAATAAGTTTTGGAGGTCCCCATATATCGAAAAAGTTTTTTTTCTTCAAAACATCCGTTTTTCTGTCCGTCTTGTGTCTGTGAACACTACTAGCACCTAAGCCATGTGGAGGATTTTTATCTAATTTTAAAAAAAGCTGTATATCTAACTCTAGTCGAAATTTTGGAATTTTGATAAACATTCTTCAAAATTTGGGAGTACTTTACATGAAGACCTTCAGACATTTTCAAAATTATCTGAAAAAACGGCCCAAAATTTTTTCTTAAACTTTTTGTAGGGATTGTATTAAATACACTGTATAAGATGACATAAACGCCATTTTGCTGATTTTTTTATTTTTTCAAACATTACAAAAATGGAATTTTTAACTTGTGTCTCATGTCGTTAATATTTACATTTTGTTTAAGATTTAAGATTTATTCAGTATTTGCCAGATAATTCTTGGAACAATTGACAGCACTCCCTTAACAATATGAGGTAACTATTCAATATTCTTTGACAGTTAGCTTTCCGCTTTTGGTGATTAGTCACAAAAATATGAAAAAAAAGTTTTTACTCTTCAGAAAGCTAAGGGACTGAACACGCTGACTTGAAAGTTTCACCGAATCACTGCTGATATCGCAAATACTGGTGCAAGTAAAACACAAACCAAACCTAACAAGACACGTGTTCTCTTTTCAGTGTACACCCACAGACCTCTACAATTAGGTATACAATACGTGTAGATCTCCGCAAAACGTTAAATGATTGTTTTTAATACGCGCTTTAAACCATCGGTATCAAGCAACTATTAGTGTTTCTAGTTGTTGCTGCGAGAGCGAATTAATAATTATGTATTATGTATGTATTGTGTTAATAATTATGTAAATAAACCCCGTCAGACTGCGTTAACTACGGTGTTCACAGTATAGTATAATAGGAATCTAAGCCTTCTAAATATGACGTCACAAAGGGTTGAAATTTGAAAAATGATAGCTACCATCACCAAAGGTTGAAATAAAGGTCGCATTGGTAGTATCAATGAGTGTCGATCCAACAAAAATTTAATAGAATGTCCAAGAATATCTCATCCTGTAGATTACGGTGCGAAGAACATTTCTTTGGAGTCGTTGGCCTCAAAAATTTTGTTTTGAAGGCCCTAGAACGCTTCGTTTAGTAATGTCACGAATTAGCTGACTGAGTGCTGCGGGTTACAATTGATATAAATATTTAAATGCTTTTTGTAAACAATTCCTTTATATTTTTAAAGTCAAAGTACCGTTCGCCATTTCTCGGTCGTCTCTCTAGAGACCTCACTTATTAAGATCGGCTGCGTGTGAAAGCCACAAAAGGTATGCATACTATTGAAATAATATGGGAGACGATAATACCAATATGCCCCATGATGGGTCAGGGATACCTAAGTAAAAGTAGAAATTCCCAACGAGCGCTGGTCTCATAGTACACTATGTTTTAAATACCTACTTTAATCCAACCCTAGAATATTATTATACATTACCAAGGGGTAAATATTAAAGATGCCATTGGGCATTACATTACTATGTCCTATATGTAATATATTACATTGTCCTATAAGCAATACACAAAACATATCATTTAATATTTGTAATGTTGAAAAATTTAAAATATACAATGAAAGTGAAACTTTTTAACTACACTTTACACAGTCTGATAGCTCAGATACGTCAGTTATTGTCTCTGCAGCTTCGTGAACTGGGAAGTCCTAGGGCTGTAATCCCGACGGTGGCAGATGTTCGACTCAAATTACAGATAGGTCAATTTAGCTAATCGTTTTATGCATGGTCAATAAAACCTACGCTTAGGAAACAAGAATCGTTTCGAAAATGCTGAAGAATTATCAATGTGTTTTCTGGGTTGACGTCAGCATGAAATAATTTTTAGTTCTGGAAATGTTTCAAGAAAAATGGCCGGGGAGGGGGGAAGGAGGAGAGGGGGAGGCAGGGGAGGGGGGAGGACGAGGGCGGAGGAGGAGGGGGAGGGGAGAGGGAGGAGGAGGGGGAGGGGAGGAAGGGGGGGGGGAGGAGGGGGGGAGGGGAGAGGGAGGGGGAGAGGGGGGGAGGAGGGTGGGGAGGAGGGGAGGAGGGATAGTGGTGCTAAAGAATGACTTTAATTTGAAATTAGAGCTCCATTGCCCATAAGAAACAAACATTATACAACTTTCAACAGATCAAAAGTTTAATTTTGTCGACCAGTGTAACTACATGCTATATTAATCCAGTTTTGAAGGTTTATTATTTTGTCGCCAAAGAGCACTTACAATAACAGTTTACAGGTTGTTCATCATCTGTGAAGTTTCTGTATGGTGTGTCTGCATCTTGAAGTGTATTCGCTTACATTTTAAATATACCAAATAGGAGCAAACTTATCTGGCACGCGATTACGGTGCCTATGTTCTGAAGCACATCGAATGCATTTAGTAATTTTTGTGAAACGATTTTTAGTCATTACGTAAGTGAATATGAGCCTACTGTCTTTTACCACAGGTGCGTTATTGCTTGATTGTGAGCTTTGGATGCGCAAAAAGCGTACAAAGCCTTTCAACTAAGAACTATTCAGCAGTATCCATTTTGAACCACATATAATAGTTCGTTTTTGGTCCGCTTCAAAATTTTATCAATTAGATTTTGTTTCATTAATAAGCGGAAGGCTGACTCTGAACCCATATTTTTATTTGCATACTGGGTGGGACCTGGAATTTCTCGTATAGTTACATCTTCATGCATTTCCACACGTCCTTACAGTATATTTATTCCGCATTTTTGGCGCTATAGATGACAAACAAAACCTCAGTAATTTGCCACAAAACATGGGAAGAAATGCATTCAAGTTTGTAAAATAATACAATCCATACCTAGAAAAGCCAATGTCTAATTTGATCCTAAATGATGACCTCGTCGATTCCTCTTTAAATTTACGTGATACGGATGGAAATGCGCATTTTCATTGGTGGTCCCCACTTATAGAATGGGACTAACTCCCACCCTTCGTGAATGCTTGCATTTGCATACGAGTGGCCCTCGCGCGGCTCTCGAGTTCAGTGAAAGTGCAAAATTCCGCCAGTGCAGTCCTTGTCTACGATGAACATACGAGTTATAAGATGTCCACGAGTGTTTTAAAAACATATCATTGATACAATTACCATTACTTATCTATTATGTACTAGCGTCTCTTATTTAGATTATGCGTGCGCAGAGTCCGGGCTACGGCTGTCCCCGCGCGGCGCGTGTGCTGTGGAGGCGGCGGCATCAGCCCACCCCACCCACCGCGTGTACTTGGTGCACACGTGCGACGTGCAGAGGCGCTCGCTGGCGAAGGGCGCGGCGCCCGCCTACGCGCTGGCCGCCCTTTCGATCCCCAACGTGCGCCTGTGGGCCGTGCCCTACGCGCTCCACTTCGTCGGCACGCCGCTCCAGGGCTGGTTGGCGAGCGGCGCGCTGCGGGCGAGTCGCTGGCCTGTAGTGCACGCTAGTGACGTTCTGCGATTCCTACTGCTCTGGAAGTATGGCGGCACGTACCTCGACCTCGACGTCCTCATGCTACGGTAGGTGCTTAGGCTGAATACGCATAAGTGTGTATGGGAGTGTTTGCAGAGTGTGAGTGGTGGTCCCAAACGAGCTTCTAGCACCAATGCATTGGGAGGGAGGGCAGGACAATTGTTTAATATTATCAATACCTACCCTTCCAATAGATCCCATATACCAACTAGTGGTGCAACAGAATGACAGCCTTTCTCCAAGTAATTTTTTCTAATTGAGGGCTAGCTTTATGGCCTTCCCCGTCCACTTGCCAGCTACCATATGTCGTCGCCCTTTTAACATTTTTTTAAGTTTCCTAATTGTGGATTCAAAATATTACTTTTAGAATATTGAAGAGTCAAATCTCATCCGTATAGCAATTTTCACTGATAAATTCGAAACAGTTTTTAAGAAAAAGGCGTGTAAGCGTTACTGTAAATGCGATATTTTAAGCTCTTTTTCACAGTTTTTGAGTTGTTGAAAAACTTCATTTGAAGCATTTTCAACCACAAATGTTCATAGAAACAGCTGAAAATATTTTAATTAACGTCATGAGAGATATTTCAGAAACCTACGTTTGTTTATTTTTTTAAAAAACAAAAAAAATCAGCAAAATTAAATTTGTCATCTTAAACAGTGGAATTATCATTATCCATAAGAAGAGTTGTAAGGCAATTTTTGCAGCAGTTTTTGAGAAAATGGCTTTAATGTTTGTGAAAATGCGAAAATTTGACAAAACTATATCAGACATCATTTAAAGCACGTGTACTCTTAAATGCAATAATGAGAACAAATCGCCACTAATGTAAATATGAATATGACAAGCAAGACCAAAAAATTACAATCCTGTTATTAAAATAAAATGAAGAGAGCAATAAGACGTTTGCCATCTCATAGCGAACATTTAACTCTATCTTTACCAAAAGTTAAAAAAATTGAGCCGTTTTCGAATATTGTTTCTAATATTTTTTTTTAATTGCAGACATTCCACGAAATATTGTGCGAAAACAACTAAAAAATTTTAAACAAATGTACATGACCTTATTGAAATAACTAAGTAAGAACAAATTTCACATGAAGGGAAAAAAAACTATCTTCAATTTTGTAGTTGTAGAAGAAAATTCAGAGTTGACAGTAAAAAATCAGACCTATGCCAGCTTTATAAACAAATTGAAGTATCCTGACAGAGACATAAATACTATGCTACAAGGGCGCCTCAATATCTAGGTGCGCATTTGCATGCAGGATATACAGTACAATGCATGCAATACTAATTTAGCAATTTTCATTTATAAAGACAATTATACACATAGATTCGGTAGACCTCAAGTGGATATTTTCTCCGAATGTGAAGAGCTTGGAGCAAAAATTTAGAGTAAAGGGAGTGTGACAGCCCCAAGCGTGCAACAGTGTCCGAGATACCTATCCACAAAAAATTAGCCGATACATTTTATAAATCAGTTCAAAAAGCAAATGAGAATTTTTGAAAATGCTTCCATGCAGCCATGTGATTGTCCTTTTTCTAAACAGTTTACAAAATGTAATTTTCTTACAATACGTAATAAAATTAGCTAATTGTTGCTAAACAAACATTTATTTCGTTGGATAAATGGTGATTCCAAACAAATATAATCTTCAATACTATTACGTGAAATGTATTTCATTATGAATTCGGTTCCCAATTTTCTTCAGTTTCGATTCTGACACAGAGGAGAAAGGAAACATGTCAACAACAATTAAACAAAAATTCTGATCACATAAAAGTTATTTAGTAGAAAGTACATTGAAATACAATATAGTACCATCTCAGTGCATTCACACAGAATAATTGGACAGGATAATATAAAATGTGTGAGTATTATTTAATGTTTCCTTCCTCCTGAAAAGTTGAATAAATGATTTGTTTCCTTCCTCCTAAGCGCGACTTAATTACACATTTGTAATTTTTGAAGAAACAAATTAATAGAGCAATATGGTGTTTGTCATCTCATATAGTACATTTAGCACTATTTCTACAAAAGAAAAAAATAGATTCGTTATCGAGAAAATTTTGTTTGTGTATTTCTTAAATTGCACATATTGTGGGCAATATTGCGCGAAGACTACTAAAATTTTCCAAAAAATTACATGGTCTTAATGAGAGAACTAATTATGAGAGAACTAAAATATATTTTGAAGGGAAACATTCATATTTTCCATATTGTAATTGTTGAAAGTTGCCAAAAAATGCATACTTTTACAATTTTCGAAAATTCAGAATTAAGTGAGAACAGACCTATGCCACCTTTATTTCGTATTTTTCTATATTCTTACAAGAAATTTAAAGAAAAAAATTGAAGCCAGTTTTGGAGAAAATTTTGAAATTTTCCCAATGGCTTCATGTAAAGTATCCAAAAAATAGGTTTTTTCAAAATCATTTCTCAGACCTTCGACTCAGGCTACATTTATGAGGGTTTCTTCGATTTAAAAAACAATTTACGTATAGTGTAGGTGCAAGTATTGTTCACTAGACAGCGAGACAGACAGACAGACAGACAGACGGCCGGCCGGCCGGGCAGTCGGACAGAGGGAGGTTTGGGAAAAAACACTTTTTCCGTATTAGGCGACACCAAAACTTGTATTTTCGTTGAAATTTTGAAATCAATTTTCCGCAGCATTACATAGCTTCCTCCATAGTACTGGATGTTTTGGCTCCCAAAATTCAAAAAGTTCTTTTCCAATGTTGATGATATTGATTCGGGCAAGATCATTCGGGAATATTTATATGGACCCATTATTGTTCACGAAGATGACGGGTAGTAGAAAGAAAGGACGACGTTACTAGCCATCCCCCATGCACGAAAAAACAAGTCACAATTTCGACATTGTTTTTTTGAAGCATTAAAATAACATTTCTGTAATATGTATACGAGAAAGAAAAAAGGTCTCAGAGACAGTTTCATTATTGTTCTTTCAATTTCTTGGCTGTTAAGAGCTTTATGCATGAACGACTTTTGGGAAAGTCTGTTATCGCTTAGGTTTTCATTTTAGTTTCTGGCTCCCGCGATATAGGGAAAGTTATGTTAAAGATGCGCAAAAAGTGACGAAGTTTCGGTCGAAAAACATAACTTCTTCTGTCTCTTCTTACAGAGTTCTGGAAACGAAAAAGGGAAAAATCCAGTTGATAAATTTAGGGGGAAAATTCTCTAACATGTGTAGCCAAAATCCATGTTTTGTGGGTCTTTGATACCGAAAAATTGATTGACGGGTAAAACGTCTGTCCGAGCGTCTGTAAACACTAGCGGCAAAAAATTTCAGCTGATTTTCTATAAAATTAATATTACCTAAAATATCTGGATGGTTCCTTGAATTTAATTTTTGGGGTTACTTCAGATGAGCCCCAGGCACATTTTCAAATTTTTCAAAAAGATGGCGCCATGGCATTTGGTTAATTTTTGTTTTTAGATAGTCTAAAAAACGCTTAAGAAAATGGTAAAAGTATGATGGTGAATAGCTCTTATTTTTCGAAAATTGAAGAAGTTCAAACTTGTTCAGTTCTTTTCACCTTCAATGATGAAGATACATTTTGTTCACTTTCTTGCTTTATTTTTAATAAAATGTGTCACTAAAAAATCTTCATATAAGGTCATGTTCAATTTTTCAGAATTGTTAGTATTCTTAGAGAAAATTCGAAAAGAATATGACATGGTAAATTCGAATCCCAGCGCTATGTTTGAGGCGATTTCAGTCTGTAAAAGTAATTTTAGAGAGAGGCAATTGAATTTTAAGAAAATATCATGTTTAACTTACAATCAATTAACGTATTATTACAAATTGTGGAATATGATGTGCAAATATTTACCTCTATTAGTTGCAGTAAAAATTAATAACACACATGAAAATAAGCGTTTCAAATGTTACGTGGAAGAACATTAATTCTTGCAACCATTTGACAGCAGCAAGAGCAAAGTAATATCATAGTGATTAATTTGGAATATTTGTTAACTTGCGCGTTTCTTTCAGGAAGTAGATGCACTTCTCATTTCTAAGATTTATCTTGATGGATACGCGCGTGCGTTTGCAGACTTTCATTTATCTTTTAATTATAGTTTCATTAATTATAATTATTGATTTAATTACTATTGAAAATAAATTTGAACAAACGCGTTTAATATACGATATTTTGAGTATCTTTGTTTCACCATTTCGCCACTGGTTATTAAGTTGCGATCTAACAATAGGAACGTTGCGATATGCATGAACTTCAGAGAATAATCTAATATTGTCAGACGGTGTTTTTTCTCGAAAAATAGTTCTTGTGAAAGAAGATGGTATCGACAATCAGGACATAGTGGGTGTAAATAGTGGATTAAATTTTCTATTTCTTGGGTTATGTAAGGAAAGGTGAAAGAGCCTGAAGTCTGTCATTCGAATCTCAAAAAGGCATATTCCTTTTCTTCCAAAACTTCTTTCCTTCTTGTAAAAGCAAGTTGGTAAAATGCGCGACACCATAATTTCCGTAAACTTACTATTATTGTGTAGCAATCATTTTCTTTTAAATACTTTTAAATACTGTATGGACACTGCAAAAATAATTAACGCTTGTGGTAAAATGAAGTGTCTGCATCGTATAATTTGTAAAGAATACAATTTTTTAGGCTGTCATTCATAAAATTATGATGAAAAATTCATCATAAATTATCGATGAGATAATTGTTTTCTTTTGCACTTAAATTGACTTCTTATTAATATTTGAAATCTGAAATTCTTTTGAATTTTTCCGTTTTTAATGAAAATGTTTTTTGCAACATTTTATATGGAAGGTTCTTTTGTAAATAAATTATAACTAGTTGTGCTGCCAGAGCACATTCTTTCCCGTCTCTAAACTTTGCGAAAAATTACACTACTATATAACCAGCAAAATTGTTGTCAGGCAGCTAATTTTTTTCTGCTCTGAGACTCGAACTCAGATCCTCAGAAATAACGTTCCGACACTCATACTATTACGACACAGAAGCGCGACAAAGATCAAACTCGGACAAGGGTATAAAGAGGAAAATGCCCGATTCATGAAAAAAAAACTCTTCAACAATCAAAATATCTGTTACAAACTCCGAAAGCCCCCAGTGCGTTAAGATCAATCAGGGAATATCAATTTTAAAGAAAATCATCTGATCGGTTTAGGTGCTAGCCAGGTTTGCCATGCGTCCTACTTTCGGTAGGACAGTCCTACAATCACAATGAATGTCCTTCGTCCGACAATGAATGAAAATGTGTCCTACTTGAAAATAAAATTTTGGGTTTGTTTTTAGAAGTCTGTCCGTCTCCCTCCCTCTCTCCCTGTCCGTCTCCCTCCCTCTCTCCCTGTCCGTCTCCCTCCCTCTCTCCCTGTCCGTCCCCCTCCCTCTCTCCCTGTCCGTCTCCCTCCCTCTCTCCCTGTCCGTCTCCCTCCCTCCCTCTCTCCCTGTCCGTCTCCCTCCCTCCCTCTCACCCTGTCCGTCTCCCTCCCTCCGGCACTCCCTGTCCGTCTCCCTCCCTCCGGCTCTCCCTGTCCGTCTCCCTCCCTCCGGCTCTCCCTGTCCGTCTCCCTCCCTTCGGCTCTCCCTGTCCGTCTCCCTCCCTCCGGGCTCTCCCCGTCCGTATCCCTCCCTCCGGGCTCCCTCCTTCTCCTTCTTCTCCTTCTCCTTCTCCTTCTCCTTCTTCTCCTTGTCCTTGTCCTTGTCCTTGTCCTTGTCCTTGTCCTTGTCCTTCTCAGTATTATTAAATGCAATCATCCACACACTAAAATTCAATTTTTTATTGAAAACTTTCGTATGAAATGTTGCGGTTCAATGATACCTTAGTGGTGACATTTAGATAAACCAAAATTACTTTTAATCAAATTTCTTTATTTTTCCTCTAGAAAAATCTCTTGACAGCAATCTTTCATCAACGTTCGATCACTTGGCAACATTCTCCTTGCAATGTTTGTAGATCTTTGGGAGAGGAAAAGAACTTCGGTTGCGCGGAGTCACCAGCCGCCGTGTCTGTGGGCGCCTTTAACTTCGCCTTGGACGATCCGGGCCGGCGCGTGGCCAATGCTTGCATTGCAGAATTACTCGACTACCGTCCCGATCTGTGGTCTTACAACGGGCCGGGGGCAATCACACGTGCTTTGAAAAAAGTTTGCAATGTTCAAGAGGTAAGGTTTTAATCAATGATACTTTTTTTATTAAAATGTACGAAACATTTTGAATCTGCTGTGCAGATAAAATATTGCAATTTAACTTAATACGCCATAATTTTCTTCACGTTCTCATGACTTATGTCGACATCTTGAAGTGAATTACCAAGTAAGCTGTTCAGTTTGATATTAATTTAGATACGATTTATTGTATGTTTAAGTCAGTGAGGGAGAGTCGGGCCGTCGGGGAGAGTCGGGCCGTCGGGGAGAGTCGGGCCGTCGGGGAGAGTCGGGCCGTCGGGGAGAGTCGGGGACAGCAAAAATGCAACCATAATGCGCTGCAATGTTGTTTGGCGACCCTGCATTATCATATCCTAAATTGCAAACACATTTCATCTGTGCTAGTGGTGAAGAGCCTCCCACTTTCTCACTGTCGCAAAAGACGAAACATTAGGTAGTTATTTTAAATGCCCTTCACATTGTGCTTTAAATAATGTCTGTTAGTTTCTTGAATTTTCCAAACTTTTTGTGAAAATGTTTCAAATTTGTCATTAAAGTTACTCTAAACGACATTATCCGAAAAAAGCATTTAATTTAGAACGAGGGTTTGTCTTTTATAACTTTATTAAAGTGAGATTTTAAAGGGCACTTTAGAATATTGAGCGACGATAACAGCTGGGAAGATGGTGTAAAACAGAAAAACTGACATAGACCCAATAAATTTGAAATAAAAGTATTATTAGAAAGAGTGTGCCATTCTGTAGCACCTCTAGTTTTCCTCGTACGTAGCAATGGATGATAAAAAAATAATGCTTTCGGCAAATACCTGGCATTTTCGAAAATTGCTAAAAATTAACATTTCAAAAGTACAATATTGATGAGAAAAACATTTTTCTTGAAGAAAATTTGTTCTTAATGATCAGATCTTCAAGTAAAGAAATGTACAGTTTTTTAAATAAAGTATAATTTTTTAATAATTTTTTGAAGAGCTTTTCGTGTATTTTCTGCATTTTGAATCCAACGTACTTCATAAAAAAGTCCCCAAAATAGCTGACCGCGCCCACAACAGAGCAGAATAAATATGATTTTATTTGATTACAGTTGATCTCTAACCGCCATTGCGTCGAAAGATCACGCCACTTGACCCCGCCCACGGTTTTCCCAGAATCGCACTTCGAGACTCGCGCCCATTCGCCCGGTGGGTGGTATTCTCTCTAGATGGATTTTTTTTGTTGTTGTTCATATTCTTCTTAATGTTTCTGTAGTATTGTTATTGTCATTATCATCGTCACCACCATCACTTTCAATTATGAAAATATATATTTGTTGGAGTGCACAGCAAAACAGAATAAATATGTTATTTCATACTGGAACATCCCCACGCATCTACCGGCGATGTGGGATCGTCGGAAATGCATGGTAGCGGCCCGGTCTTAGCTCAGTCGGTTCTATTCCCTTTACGCATTTAAAAATTAGGTGATGGAAGGAATTGTTAACTAAATACATGGACATTCAAAATAAACAATTTGGTTACTGGTAAAAAAGACAACATTTACTCCTGGACAATGCTGTACCAGGGACGTTACATTGATAAAAAAGAAAGATTGAATAATAAAAAAATAAAGATTAAAATTGAAGGAGAGCTTACAATTAGAGAAGAATACGAAATTATTTTATAGTTAGAATTACAGAGTTGTCCCTGAGGACCTTTCTGTACCTTAGCGCGGCACCGTTTTGACAATAATTTCTAAAGAGCTTATTGCCCCGGTTTACGTTGCCTGGGAACCCTCCGTGGCAGATGTGCTCAGTAGGCCCGGGTGGGCGCGGCGAAGCTTGTAGATAGCCGGGGCGGCCTTCCCTGTTTGGGCGCGCGCCCTCACCAACGGCGGCTGGCGGCGGCCGGCGGCGTCTGGTGGCGTCTGGCGGCGTCTGGCGGTGGTCAGTGACGTCAGCGAAAGGACGTCTGGAGGCTGCTTCGGCGGAGCTTGTAGATAGCCGGGGTGTATCGCAGGTGCGAAGCACACAACAGTCTCCCTCTGCGTATGCGATTCCTCTCGAATAAAAATTTCAGTATTTGCGAAATCATGCAGCGAATACGCAATAACAAAGGATTCGACAATTCCCTTATGAGTGCTTTTGCACTTTCCCTCGAATCAAAACTTCGATTGAATCCCTGTCCCCGGAGGTGCACACCACCTCTCTCTAAAAAATTCCTCTCCCTGTCCCCCCAAAGGTGCTCGCACCTCTTCCCGGGACTAGCTCCCGCCCTAGCAGTCGGGGCAGTAGTAATGTAATGTCGGTTTTCCTCTCCCTCAAGTATAAAGTTAACTTCCATCCCCCACCTTTTCTCCTCGTATGTTCGAGTTCCTGATGACGATCGCGTCGCTATTGCCCAAAGGTAATGGCGTCTTACACAAATTCTGACCAATAAGCTCTAGCTGGTTCTGGAAATTTTCCATCCTCTGTTTCGGTCCCCGCGTGTGTCTTTTTCTACCGTCTGGAAAGTAGGCCACGTCTGTGAAGGGGCTTCCCGTCTACTGAATTATCTTGTGCTTCACGGGGACAGGCGTTTCGAAAACGTTCCGGACGGGGACGCAGCGGAGTGCCTAACAACTCACCCTTTCTTCGGCCGTCGGGGTGCCATAAACTGCCGAAGTGGGTCAAGGGGGCTAGCGGCTGTTGCAAGAAGGAGGGGTGTGCGCGTGACGCCGTAAGTCCTTTCTCAGTAAATATTCCTCCTTAAATTCTACATTATTTTTATTTAATTTATTTAAATAATTCGGTACCGCTACAATACGCAAGGCAGGACAGTTGTTTTGTATAACCAGCAGAACGCACGACCGTTGTGTCGATAAGATGACGCCACCAGAAACCACCCTCGACTTTCCCAGAAACACACCAGCGAGTCTTCCCTCACTGCGGCCGTCAGCAGCTCGCAACGGACGGAACCTTCCTGAACGATCTATCGCCAAATTTGAATGGCTAATTGTGATAGGAAACTGCCACCCCCCTGCACGATGAAGCTCCCGTCGTTAAACCGCCAATTCAGTTCCAAATTAAGCAGCGTGCAACGCACACGTGTGGTCCAAGCTGGCGGTTTCTGAATGTAATTAACATACGTAAAAGTTTTACTGTCCAATCTCATGCTGTTCCCAGTTGTTAATGCAATTTTTAATTGTACCGTCTGTGTAGTATAGGTAATCTGGCTCAGACCACTTGAATATTCAGTTCTTGTGCAATCTCGGACTGTTCCCGGTTAGCCCGTAAAGAAGCATCTATTCGTGCGAAGTAGTGTTAGAGTGCCCAATTCGTGCGTTGCAACCAATTCCACCTGTGCTCTCTGTGTAATGTAAGTTATTTGCACTAGACCACTCGCACCAGGAAATTTACTAGTACTGTGCTCCAGCTATCATGTACTGTAATGTAAGTGTGAGAAGTAATCATGTGCTTAAGTGTTGTGATTATTCAATGCAGTTGTGCAAGAACTTCTCTTCTATCAATCCAGAACTCCTACATAAATCCTCCCTGAGCTATCAAAGAGTTTCTGGACTGCTGTGCCCTGCCTATTTTATCAATACAGCTCACTCAAAACAACCAGAATTAAGCGCAGTAGCCCAGCAGCGTATGATATAAAGAAATGCCAACGTAGTGTAGTGATAGTATCATGAAGCAGATTCTGTTCCTTAAGGCAAAAGAAGGTAACCGATTTTGCACGTTCCTCTAAATTCCTAAATGAACATTACTGCTATATTACTATGTGAAGTACACCGTAGTTACCAGTGCAATAAACGTTTCATTTCGACAACTTGTTTCAAAAATGAGTTGTTCAATTGTACAGTAATTATAAACTCTTTTCTTTACACTACAAATAAGCATTTTATTTATTTTGTTTGTTTCCTCCATCGCGAATTTTGTTCAGATTATCCAGAATTTCGTATTTGCAAGGTTTGGATTAGTGGAGTTCTACTGTACTACATTTAGTAAATCCATTATTCCAATTGCTTGAATGTTTTCCGTTTGATACAGTTGTTATCACATCAGGCGGGCTTCCTATATTGAGGCTTGACAGTCAACACATATATCCCCTGACCATAGTTGAGTGCTGTGGATGAGCTGCCTCCCAACTTACAGAATTTATTTTTTATGTTTTCCGTACACAAGCTGTTTCATTTCATCTGAAGGACTCTGTTTGCCTTGGAGAGGTCACGAGAAGGGGACGTCTTAAAATAAGGAGCCACCAATTTACAATCCAGTTGAAGGGCCTCGAAGTAAGGAATAAAATGGGTTTTAAGATGGATTTGAAATAGATTTAAGATTTAAAATAGAGGTTGTCTCATAGACAAGCTTAAGGGGCAGCAGACAGGTGTTCGTAGACACCACAGGCAAGCAGTATTCAAATTCAAGACGTCGAGACATCATTCAGATCAATTGTGGTAAATCAATTTCGGAGAAAATCAGCCGAACAGTTCAGCCGCTTTCGTTGTTTACAAACGGAAGGACAGACAGACGGTTTGCCGGCATTCTATTTTTTGGTATCAAGGGTACACATAACATGGACTCTAGCTACAGCACCTTTCTTCTAAATTTGGCAACTGGATTTATCCACTTTCTTTTCACTTTTTCATACTTAAAAGACCTATTAGAAAAGTTAACACTAGAGATCGCATGTTGTAAAATGTACAACAGACTCTCCTTTACCAACACATTTCTATCTCAGAACTCAGCAAACACTGAAGGTAAACTCTGTTTCTGCAATAACAATGAAGAAGTATGAATAAAAGAATACCTGGTAGGAATTCACTTCTGAAGCGCAACATTTCGCTAGTCCGAAACAACAATGGTCACAAATTCTGCAGTACTCCGTATTGCAGGTAGGTATTTTATTACTGCAGTTTAGAGCGGATTGTAGGTTAAGTCTCGCTGTTCTGTAATTCTCCCTATAAATTGTATCTTTCATTAGGTCGTTCGAGATGGTCTGGATTCTTCAATGCCCAGATTTTAGTAAGTTTTACCAGGCTCAATATCTTGAATCACAATATGAATATCAACTTCAATGTTCTCATCTTGCCTTTCTTTAAATTGATTTTTGCACACTTGTCATGATCAAACTTCATGCAGATGTCATTGCTTGAGTCATTCACGACAAAGAACATTTGGGAGAGAATTGCTTTATTCTTAGCGAACACTTTAAGGTCATTCATGTAAAACAAATGTAATACTGGTCTTTCATCCCCCTGGAGCTTGTAAGCAAAGTCAGTGTGAGACAACGGTGTAGATAGTGAAATCAAACTAATGGAAAACCGCAGAGGGGGTACCGAGTCTCCTTGGAAATTCCATTGTTAATCTGCGTACTTCTTGTTTCTATTACTGCCTTTATGTATTGGTACGCTGGTACTCCACGACTTCATATTAGTACTGACTTGCAAAAATGATTAATGGTTGCCTTTCATATGCAGTACATACGCCTTGCCGTATATACGCCTCGCAAAACTGAATAAGTCTAGGTTGAAATCAATAGATCTCCAGGATCTTCAAAATGCAATCGTATGGTACACTGTCAAAAACTACCTGTATTCATTCCATGCTGTGCTTTAATTAAGTTTTCGTTTCCTTCATCATTCAAGATTACTTTATTTAGTAGCAGTATTTCCTTACAGCCATAGGAACATTTTCGGAATCATTTCTGTTCAACTGGAGACAACGGTTCCGCTCTAAGTGCCTGTATATTTTGTTTACTATGGCTCAAGTTATAACGTGGAATATCACTGGCTGAAAATGGTTTGGCTTGAAATTCGCCAAAGAAAAGAGTCTCCCCGCTTTGGGTTGCAAATACTTTATGCCACGTGTCCGTTCCGGGAATTCCTTTGGTGTTTCTAAAATTTTATTAACAGCCTTTCCTAGATGAGAATGTGATGCTGTTAACTTCTTAATGATATAATTCTGGAGCTTAATGCCGGGGCATTTACAGTTTCTGGAGATATTAATTATTGCAAAAGACTGCCGAGAATTCGTAAATATATTCTACTGTTTTCACAGGTTCATCGGTAGCATCAACTTCAGGTTGAAGTTGTGATTAGCCTTTGTTGCAGGACCTGCGTTCTTCCAAGATATCTACACAAAATGTTTCGACCTATTGTTTCAAAGGAGGGGTACCATCGTCATTCGGTGTTTTAATCAGATTGCAATATGATATTTATATCGGGGTATGCGTTGATTTAGGTGCATCGGCTAAGAGTGATATTTCAGGCGGATTGTCGGCTATTCGTTTTGTAATAGTTTTCGCTCATGGGGGGACGGAACTGTTTACACTGGCTGTCGGCAGCCCGAGTTCTTGGGTGGTTTCAAAATTATCGAAGATACCGTATATCCATATGGTTGCGTAGGCTTCCGCGGCCGGAGTTTACGTTGGCTAGGCTATCCGGGACGAGCCCCGTCAATGTCATGGTGGCTGTTTTGGCCAGCGTATTGTGGCCTTCTTCACTGCGTACTGCTTCAGCAATACGTCGTCCCGGATAGCCTAGCCATCATACCAAATATCCAGTTGCATGCTCGATGTGATTAATGTCAGAAATATCTAGATCTCTACATGAGGTCTGCACCAACTGGAGAGAGAGTTCACGATCTCTACCACTCTCTTAACTTTCATATTTTCGTATATCCTCCTCAAAAACGCACGAGATTCAAATGAACTCTTAGTATCTCGCGTCGAAGGACGTTCCATATTTTGTTCTAATTGTGTGATTCATAGCAAGGTGAGTGTTCACTTATGACGAATGTTTCATTGGGAAGAGATGAACCTTCAAGATGACACTCGTTTCCATGGATACTAAGGGTACTAAATGTACGTCATGGTGATAGTTGAATCAATGAATGTACTCCGCATTTCCCCGCACGTTGTTCTAGTGGGAATATTCCACTGCGAGTGTACATAGTAGTTGACTGGCAAACTTTATGAATCAATGGTAAGTCTCATATGTGTTCCGCTCTCTCCATATTTTGAAAAACTGCCATTTCTGAGCTCCTATTTTTCGCTTTTGCGTCGTAAAGCACTACAACACATCCTCAAAGTCATCCGCTGTCCATCCCTGACGTTGCCGTCGAGCTATTACCGACTCGGGGACCCCGAGACTAACATCCGTGGGATGACCAGCATCGACAAGATGATAGCTTGACAAAATTCATTACATTTCTTCTATCCCATGAGTTGATCGTCTAATACGCAGCTGGCGGCTGCAAAAAGCGTGTGCCTCCTTGTTAGGAGCGGCTGTATCCACAGTGGGAAATAAGTAGAGAGGAAATGGTTATGAACTTTGGACTTCCTGTTATCGGCCCGTGGAGTGTACAGGAGAGAAACTGGTGCTTAGTCGGAACACTTGAATATACAGTTTATTGTGCAATCTCCGGCTGTTACCGGTTAGAACGTGCGAACTATCATTTTATATGTGCAAAGTAGGGCTCCACCCAAATTGTGCGCTACAACTAATTCCAACTATACTGTCTGTGTAATGCGAGTTATTTGCACTACACCACTCGCACCATGAAATTTACTAGTACTGTGCTCCAGATATCATGTACTATGATGTAACTGTACCATGTGATCATGTGCTTAAGAGCAGTAATTATTAAATGTAGTTGTGCAAGAACTTACTTTTCTGTCAGTCCAGAACTCCTACATAAATTTTCCCTGAGCTATCAGAGGGTTTCGGGATTGCTGTGCTCCGCCTACCTTATCAATAGAGTCCACTTCAAAATATCCAGAATCAAGCGCAGTAGCCCAAACAATATTCAACTTGATTTATTTTCTTTATGAGAAAAGAAATCAAACAACAACAAAGGAATTTATTTTATTGTCTCATGACAAATGTTTTCTTTTATTTCATGGTTCCTTTTCTGTGCAGGTCCTCGAAATGACAGAAGAAATGTGTGGAGGCTTTCGTCTTCTGTCCACCTCAACTTTCTACGCAATTCCATGGCAGAATTGGAATTTATTCTTTACAGAAGAAAGTTCAGAAGAAACAATGATGATGATTGGTAAAAACTTAGCTGTTCATGTTTGGAATGCACTAAGTCATAATACTACTGTTTACACTTCATCAGAGCAGCCTTATGCCCAAATTGCACGCAGAGTGTGTCCCAACGTTGTTGCAGCTGTGGGTGACACGATGTAGAACACAACTCCTGGGAGTACTTATCTGTGATATATACTGTGCCATTTCAAGGGATATGTGTTTATGCAAAATAACAGGTGGTGAGCGATTAAGAGTTGCAGGATTTTGATCATTTTAATGTACATTTCAAAATTTGTTTTACTCGTATAACAAAATCTTATTTAGTTTACTGAAGATCATCCTAATACCTATTTGAATTTTTGATCTCCAAAGCTCACTCAAGTATTACTTTTCAAAGCTGCAGAAGAAACTTACTTAAGTAATTTATGCTTTTGTTGATTACACAATAGTTGTTTAAAAATGTGTGTTCGAATTGGCATTACAATGTCAACACAATTTTGTCCAAATTCAAATCCTGCAATTATTATTTCCTACAAAGAATATTCAAGGGACCAATGGAAGAAGAAGGTTCAACTTTTATAGCAATTTGTTGTTGGTTTCTTCAAATCCATGTACTTTTTTAATAGCTGTGAGGCACGTACTAAGCAAAATGAATAATGTACCTTTTTTAATTATTAGTGAAGAGACGAATTGACGTGGAATTTCCTTTGAAAGAAATCATGCTTGTAATGATAATTTACTTGCGGTTAAATTCTAGTCTTCATAAAAAATATGATGTTTTATTAATTATGTTATGAATCTTCATGTAAAGTGTGGTTTAGAGGTACATATGTTATTTCATAGTATTCGGTTTGGGTTGAAAGAACTTAAACGATAGTCCTTTTTGGGGTGTCATTGTAATTACAATGAACCTGTAAATCAAAATTGATTACCAAAATATTTAAATAATTCTACATTTGTATATGATATTTATTACTAGTAGAAATATTATATAAAATTAATAAATATATTTGTATTTGTTTAGTTAATATTTAGTACTTCTAATTGTAGTGAAGAAACTGCAATATGGAATGAAGTTAATGTCATCATTAAGTTAATTTATCTCTTCAGTTCCTATCATAAATGTAATGCTATTCTTGATCAAATAACCCAATAAAACAGGAGGCACGTGTGAGAATCTCAGGCAGAAGATTTGGATTTAATTTCGAGTGTGCCTTTGTAATTTCGTCATAATTTAATTCATGATGAAATGTCAAATAAACATTGTAGATCAGTCCAATAGTATTTTTCTTTTATCTGATTTTGTTGTTTATTTAGTTAAGATAATTTCAGACACGCTGTACTGCAATTCTATGTATGTGTCCAATGTCTGTGTACACATCACAAAAACACTTTTGTGAATTAAATTTCTGGAAAACCTAGATAGATGTTAAATTCACACGAAATTCAGTTGCATAAAACTATTCAATATTGTTTATGCATTTCAATTGGATTTTCTTGTTATACTTTTCAAATATATAATAATAAAAGGATTAAAATAATGATACATTGTTACAAGGATTATGAATATGAACAAGTTAGAGAAAAATATACATTCTCAATAACATAAGGAAGATGAAGTGTGGAAATTCTATTCAGTCAAGAAATTTCTTGTCTATTGGCAAGTAGGCTTAAAGCTAGATGATTGGGATGCATTGCCAGAAGTTGGTGATATTTTGAGCAAATGCCTTGTATCTTTTCTTGAACTGTTGCTATATTAAGGTCTCGGTGTAGCGCAGTATTTATTATGAACCAGCGTGCAGATTAAATTATTTTTAAAAGTTTAGATTGAAATCTTTGTAGAATTGACAAATTAGTTTTGCTGGCAGTGCTCTAGATCAGAATTCCATGTGTCCATACAGGAACTAGAATGGTTTTATAATTTATTTTCAAGCTATAATTTTGATTTGTGTTTAATAAGCCGAAATACTTTTATTGGTTGTAACTGTAACTGTTGTTTTTTGTTTCAATGTGTTTTTTCACGTGAGTCGTCTGTCCATATAAATTTCTAAATATTTCATTCTCTCAGTTTGTGGTATTTGGTTTTTGTGTATCAAGGAGGGCAAGTCTCTTTAGTAAGTGTAAATGTTTTTAAATGCTGATTTACTTTCATTTATCTTGGATCTCTACTTGCTGTACCATTCAAGTGCAGAAAGTTGGTCTGGACGTTTTTTATGATTCTTGAAAATCATTGTCAGAAGCAAATATAGCTGTATTATCTGCAAAATTGGCAATAATTGTGTTTTCAAACTTCGGAATACCTGCTGTATATAACAAATACAGTACTGGTCCAAGAACACTTCCTTGAGACACTCCGGATGTTATAGGAAGGAGGTCTGATATTTGATTTGAGAGATATGATTTGAAAATATCGAAAAGTGAGTGGGGTAGGTAGCGCTTAAGTTCATGCAGGAGGGCCTTGTGCCATACCTTGTCAAAGGCCTGAAAGATATCAAGGAAAGCAGTAGAACAACATCGTTTATTTTGAATGTTGCTTTCTATATAGGACGTTATCCTTTTTACTTGCTCTATGATAGTGTTGCTGACAAAATTCAAATTGATGTCCGATGTCGCTGTAGCGTGATAAGTAAGGACGTAGTCTTGTTAAAAGCAATTTCTCAAATACTTTGGACAGAATTGTATAAACAGAAGACTAATAGGACGATAAGACGAAGCTTCGTGAGGAGATTTACCACGTTTTAGGAATGCTACTATTTGGGCTACTTTTTACTGAATGGGATAATGTCCAATGCGAATAATACTATTGAAGAGCGCTGTGATAAATGCAGTTCCTTTGCGAGGTAGTTATTTTAGTAACTGATAAGATCAAAGCTAGGATCTTTCTTGCAGGAATGGTCATTATCACATTCAGTATGTCTCAAGAGTGAAGAATTTTATAGTAAGTGCCAATTGTGTTGGTGAGTTTAGGTATTCTTGAATTTCCTTGTCTTCATTATTCGCAGGTGGGATGCTTTGCAAACTTTCACAAAATATTGTCCAAAAACTACAAAAAAATTGTGTAGCACTTCTTCCCCATTTCATATGTTTGTCTCTAATTGGTGATTGGGATTTTCACGGTTGTTTTAGATTAGATTTCTCGTAGCTTTAAATAGAGAATAATCAGAAGCCTCTGTTGGTGAGAGGCTAGAGATGTAATCTTGAAATTTACTGTTTTTACAGTTTTTTAATTGTCTTGTAGCACTATTGTAGTTTGTTTCCTCTAGTGGATAACTTGAACTTTGCCATATTCTTCTTAACCGCCTTTTCTCCGAGATTTTGTAGATAGTTTGCTTCGGAAACTTAGTACAGATTTTAAGAAAGATTTCTTGTTGCGGAGCAGGACACACATCATTCTGAATGCTTTGCGTGAAGTACTCAATGGCTCTGTCAATGTCATCTGCAGGTTTTAACGGCACCCGAATTCTGGTGTTTTGGTTTATCCATCGTTGGTATTCACGCAAGTTAAGTGTTTTTTTAGTGAGAACAACAGGAGCGGGGTGCAGAAGTAATTCAGTACTAACAGCGACTTTGATAGGTATATGATCAAATTATAGTTCGTACGATGCTTTTATATTGTAGTATTAAGATGAAATACATTTTATAACAAAAGGACTAGTAAGTGTGATATTTTATTTGGGCCCGTTGGCCAGTAGGGTGATTGTGTGTGGAAGTATCTAGGTGAAGTTCTGTCACTGCTTTCTGAAGTTCACGTCCTCCACCGACCATCACTGACCCCACTGGGTGTGTTTGCATTGAAGAGTCTCCCTGATATAATCCTTGAGCCTAAATTGTTAAAGGAGGATTCAAATCGTGATTTATTCATGTTAAATCTTGGTGATCAATAGAGGACACTTATTGTAAGAGACCCACTCCAGTCACTAATATTCTTAATTTTATGGTGTTATTGTAAATGAATATCTTGAAAACTATTTTCTTCGTGATGTTTTACACGTATTTTAAGAAGATATTAAGACATCAGTGCCAGCAGGATGTTAAGTATCGTAAATTATATAATTTTTTAGTTTCAAGTAGTTTTTTTTCTGTGAAATTACTTTCTGAGACCAGTAGAATATCGACTTTATTTTGGGAAAGAAATATTGCAAGTTCTTGACTTGTCGCACCAAACCGTTAGCATTCCACGTTGCTATACGATTCAATTTATCCATTTGAAAGCCAAAATTCTAATGAAGACCTAAGATGTAGAAGATAATTTATTTGTTGGCTTTGTTGAAGTAAGATATTTTCAAATCTTTCGAAAGAATATCGAATAATACACAGTATAGATTGTTGATCATTGTTGTGTTTGGTTTACTTCTTGATGTACCTGCTTGGGTGGCGGTACATCAGCGTACGTTTTTTGGCAATTCGTTTGTGAGTAAATATGTTCATGACATTTTGTTTATAGGGACCATTATTTTTAGTTTTTTTTGATAAACACTACAACCCTTGTAGTTCGCAGGGTGCCTGCACTCGCATAGAACACATGGGGGTGGTGTTTGCAGGTTTTTCTTACATTCTTTAATACAATGATTCTTATTACATTAAATACGATGAGAATAATTACAGTATGCTTTGGTATGTTCATACATTTAGCATCGTTTTCATTGTACTATTTTTCGTTCCTTATGCGGTGGCTCAAATTTAACAACAATATTAAGGAGCGTGCAAATATTAAATATGTCTTTGTTGTTTCTTTGTGGTTCTAGATCAACAAAGAATAGTGAAAGAAGTTCTCTGACGAACATTTACTATATTTATGACCTAATGACAGAAAAACAGCTTCTATCATTTATATAGAGTGGTGTGTTTTTTCTTACTATTGTAACGTATTAGCCAGCGTGCCTCATGGCATCTATTTGGGGACGCTTGGTTGCGGATTAGTTTTCTTCCTACTTAACCTATCCTTTGCTCGATTTCCGTTCTGCTTCCTTTCTTTAAACACGACTATGTTTTCTTTCCAGGTTAGCTTTTTGTCGAAGAAATGTCGTCCGAGATATTTGATGGTGTCTACGTTTTCGATGGTTTTCCGTTTATTTCTATTCCTTGTTTTCTTTGTTCGTCTGAGGGTAAATGTATACATTGGACTTTGTTTCATTTCTTCTTATTCTCAGAGTTTCACCAATTTGTTTATAAGTTTCGAAGGTGTTCTTTCATGTTCTTGTTGCCGTTTTGGTTTTCGTGCAAAAGCTAGCAGGGCTCTGTCATCTGCTTATGTTGCAGTGGTGACACTGGGGACTGAGGTAAGTCACGGTGTAAAGCGTTACAGCATGGTCCAAGAATGCTCCTGTGGCAACTCCTGATAATATTGGATGAACGGTGGTTATTTCTTCCGAGTTTATTTGAAAAAACGATCAGAAATAAAAGATCGAATTATATTATAGTATGGATGGGAGACATTTCTTGATTTTATATAACAGCTTGATGCACATTTTGTCGAAGCTTGCGCAATATCTTAAAAAGAAAAAAACAAAAAAAGCGGTGAACAATACATTTTATTTTCTTAGAGCTCCGTTGATGGTGTCGACTATTCTGTGAATTTGTTCTATGTGATGCCGTTTTCTAAAACGAACTGCTGGTCTGGATTGGTCATTTTCTTTAAGTAAAGGATAATATGCGAAATAGTTTTAGTATTTTTCGATACTTAGACGAAGGCAATAACGTACTGGTCTGTACGAGGAAACATTTGTAGCTGTTACGCTGGTTTGGCAATTACAAATTATTGTGCCGTTTCCACTGCGAAGGATAGTGTCGATGCGTATTATTCCATTGAAAATGGATGTTAAAAGGGATGAGTTTCCTTAGGCAGTTTTTTTAAGCATTTCACCTGTAATACGGTCATGTCCAGGAGCCATTATGATTTGGTAGTAGTTTCAGCCTGCTGTGACTTCTTTTGTTGAGAAGAAATTTATTGGTGGCGACATTTTATGGGGACATTCAGAATTCTATAATTTCTTTTTCTTCTGTGAGTAGTGCTGAGGGTGTGGTTGAATGTTTTTTGCAAAATATTTGGCAAATTCTTCTGCCTATCGTTTTCCGTTCTTAGCCCAACTTCCATCGGTTTTACGAAGGGGGGGGGGGACAGGTTTTGTGGGTCTTTTTAATTTTTTAGTATTTTCCATAAGGAGTAATCTGTACTTTTGAGGGTGAAACTTTTCCTATTCTTTTCCTTATTTACTTCCGAGTGAAATTCTTGTATTTTTTGATACAGGCGGGAGTTCTGTTGAGTATTCGTTTGTCGTCCGGGTGATGGTGGGTTTGCAGATATCTTCATCGTTCTTTTCCTCTTCAATCATTTTTAGTATTTTCTGAGGGTTATTTATTTTTTTTCAAACTCCTTCATTTTGGAGATGCATATACGGCTTGCAGTTGAATGTGTGTATTAAGTATTCAACAGCATGCGATATCTTCTGGACCATTTTTAGGACGGACCTTTTTGGCAAAGTGGTGTTATAGTTAAACCAGTTGCTGTATTCTTCCCAGTTCGTTTTTCTGTTTGTTAAGGTATATGTTTTCTTTCTTTTTGATTTAGAAGAAACTGTTGTCAGTATTTCTGGAGAGTGATCAGATGACAGATAAAGAGCTTATTGTGTGATAGGACTGTGATTCCCTTTGTGACGAAGATATCCAAGACATCAAGGTTACCTTGTTACATCCGTTGGCCAGTATGTGGGATTTCTGATCAATATTGTTTGGAGTTTTAGTGTAGAGATGGTCCTTCTAAAGCGGGACCTCTTGTAGTGAGCAGTTTGATCCCATAGTTGATTTTTAGCCTTGTACGTCTCCTCCAGCTAATAAACTTGTTGCGAGCGTTTCTAAAAAACTTGATATACTGATCAGTGGTTTTATCTTGTGTTTTGGAGGGAGTTATAGCTGAAATAACGAGTGACGCGACTTGTCGTATCTTGAATAGAGGTTGCTTGCAGATAGTCTTTAGCATTATCTTTGTACATATTATTTTATTCTTGTTTTAATTATTACTGCTGTGCCTCATGGCTGTCGCCATCTGGATATTTGTGGCATCTACTTCGTAGTTAGGTATATGTAGATAAGCTTTTTCTGTAAAATGTGTTTCAGACACTAGGAGAATGTCAATATTTTTTGAAGTAGAAACACTTCTTACCTGCTTTCGATGTTGAAGTATTCCGTTGGATTCAGGAGACATTCGCAGTAAATTACTCATAGTTTCTTCAATTTTGCAGTCATGATATTAATTAGGCTGGAGATTTTGTTCAGCTTGCTTTGCTAAGATGGACTCGGAAGTTTTTAAAAATGATTTTGTATTATGGATATCAATTATTTCATACGAAATTTTTGATTATTGATTTGCGAATGTTGGTCATTTGTGCTATGTGAGCTGCCTACCTGTTGCTATGGTTTGATTACTTTTCAATGGCTTGAATTGTTACATTAGTTTATGTTTGCGTAGGGCATTTCTCCGTATTGATTTGACTAAGGATACTTTGCTGTTACGAATTTTTTTGATAGAATTCGCAAGCCTTTTAATAATTTGCTGGATGGTCACGGCTAAAAGAGCACATGTAGTGGTGTGTTCTCGTTTTAGTACGGTTCGACTATCGTGAATTTTTCACATTTGGACGACAGCTTACGGAAGCGTACAATAAGGAAAACTGTGCTCGTAGACTGACATCGCTTGCATTAGTATATTTCTCGTTTTTTACGCGGTGGTTAAAACGTATTTTCGCATGTAGTAAGTATTCGACGTCATATATTTTTTTATGTTTACTTTGAGGTTTTAAGTCAAAAAAGCATTGATAGAGGTGCTTTTGTTTAACGATGCTTGATATTATGAATTTGTCTTTACTTTGTGGCTTGTGCTTCTATAGTTTTTACAGTTCCATTTCGTCTGCTGTTGGTTGCATATTTTTTTTAACACAACCCGAAAGGCTCTTTCTTGTTTTAACTGAAAGGTATAATGAGCAATATTTTTCAGATTTAGATGTTTTACACGCTTTCGATAAACATCCGGTGTCTGAGGTACGATTTTTGACATTGTTTTTCATTGTAATTTTGGCTTCATCTTGTAGTTTTCAGATTAGTTTATATGAGAAGTCTTCATATTAATGAACTTCTTTAATGATCTGATCATATCAGATATAGCTTAACGCCTGGTAATGAAAATAGGCGGCGTTGATATTTGGTTCTTGTTCTTTGTATACTGCCTTGGTTGTCCGTTTATTGATATTATCAGATTTCGAGTTGCTTCTAAATTTTCATCACACGAGAGATGATCATACCTGTTTTTTTTGATGATACGGCGTATGTTGCTGTTAGTCTTCTTAGAGGGTCTACAGAGTTGTCAATCATTGCGTCTTTTTTGACGACGGCAGCTGGATTGTTTTGCCATGAGCTGCTCTCAGGTTGAAGACCAATTTCCTGTTGTAGAATGCTTGACCGTTAGTTGTGTAGCTTCTTACACGGTAGTGGGATTTCTTTCGCCGCGATATTGCTGTATTTGAAATTGTAAATGCTTGGTTCTGTTGCAGCTAGTTGTTGTAAGTGGTTGTTTT